CTCTCTCTCTCTCTCTCTCTCTCTCTCTCTCTCTCTCTCTCTCTCTCTCTGTGCATGTGTTTGTTTCTCAAGCACGCTAAACTAAAAATTCTTATTGTTGAAATTTTCTTTTTTAATACCCCACTTACACATTGTGAGGCAGACATTACCAGAGGTGGATGTCTTTGTAGTATTAAGACCTATCATAATTAACATGTTCTACTTGAAGGTAAATCAAGATCAGAATAATAGAACATATGTTCATTGACTCAAGTCTGTCCAAAGGAGGCAGTAAAAAGAAAGTTCTTGAAGCTATCCAACAATGGGAAGGCGTAAAAGAGAACACATTTTCATTGATTAGTTTTCAAATTAAATATTCAAAGTTTTCCGTTTCTTTCAGTCGGAACATGTGAAAAACCAACACATTCTCATGCCCCCCGTGTCAACATATTGACGCTTGGTCAGGCAGCTGTCTGCGTCCACTTTCGGACGCGCCGGATAGCCCCCGCGCGTCCGTTCTTTACGAGATGAGGCGGAGAAGGACGAGCGCGTTGTCATATTTTTTTTACAAGAGTAGGAAATGCATGAAACTAACCATCCCAGACCCTAAATTTAACTTCTATTAGCCTTTCACAGCCTATCCCTGACCACAGACCCTAAAATTAACCATTAACCCTGATCCCTCATATTAACCATTTTTTTAAATGTAGAAAATTCGCGAGAACCATCCCAGAGCCTAAATTTAACCTATATTAGCTATATAAGCCTATCCCTGACCCCAGTATCTCAAATTAAACATTAATCCTGATCCCTCACGTTAACCTCAGACCCCCGACCCAAAGACCCCTAAGTGACGCAACCCGGAAAAGCTACGGGCGGCAAGGACGGATGCGTGGGGGGTACCCGACGCGTCAGAACTGGATGCAGACAGTCCCTGCCCAAGTGTCAATATGTTGACGAGTCCGGCATGAGAATGTGTTAGAAAAACCACATCTAGATGTAAATAGACATATTCTTCTTCTGCCTCGCTCAGGTGAAGCTGGATGACCGTGTGATGTCAACAGAACAGGGTCTGCTGTTTCGTCAGCTCTTCCGTCAGGACGAAGGCGTTTACATCTGCCGCTCTCGAGAGCACGGCTTCACCCAAACCCTGGCTCGCATCACCCTGGAAGTCCTCCAGGGGGACTCTGTGGATGAGCTCATGGCACGCGACAACTCAGGTCTCTCCGACGCGTTCAAAGACCGCTCCACGGGAAGCTACAGGCCCTGGATGCTTTGCAACACGTACAGCAAGGGCGGCCCGCAGAGCCAAATCGGCCAGTCGCGCACATGGTTCAAGGACATCATGCAGCTCATTGGGCCATCGAACCTGCCGCAGGTGGAGGAGTACTGCGAGAGGATGTGGTGCAACGACAAGCTCCGGAGGAAACACAAGGGCATGTTGGAGAAATATCGCCAAGCACAGGAGAGCGCTCGGAAGGCTCGTAGCAAGAGCTCTGGTGAACGCAACCGGACGCCACGAGATCTAAGAAACTGGGAGGCGTAGAACGATGGGAAATGAGGAGTGGAACAAAAGGAGGAAATCATAATCTTTGTAATTATGATTTAAAGACAAAATCAGAGGCACAAAATTAAAGACCAGTCTAACAACTTGATTTAAATCAGTCTGTTTGGGTCTAAAAGTGAGGATTTTTTTAAATTTAAGGAGTAAAAAAGAAAAAGAAAACTAGATGCAGTTGAGTATCTGTAGATGAATAAAATGAACACCCAGCTTGAAGTAAAAATCTCCAGCATGTTTTCCTATTTGCTAACAATAAGCTAACGTGCTGGGAGGTTTAATTAGTGAAATAGTGCGTGTAAAGGTTGGGTTCTCGGCTGTCTCTCAGAGGCTGAGGTAATGTTTTTGGAGGAACGACACAACAAGAGACTGATTCTGAACTGAATGTGTTGCAGAGTTCCCAACGACAACATCAATAATGACAAAAGGACGAAGGACAATTTTTTGATCACACTCCAAGGATGCTTTTAAAATTTGAATTACCAAGAACACTTTTTTGTTTTCGTGCATATTTGTATGACAGAGATGACAGACTCAACATGTTACATCTCATCATTTGTCATCAAAACCTGTCAAACCACAGATTTTTCAAAAACATGTTCATATCTGTGGGCTTATTTACAATATGAACATTATCAAACTATCTGTTGACTTCTGAAATCCTTCTACACACTGATGCTGTAAAAACATTATGTTTTTAATTCTGGCTGCTTTTACACAATCCAATCACTGGATTAATTTCCTTTTTACACACACGCATGCACATACACACACTGACATCAAATGACATCTCACTCACCCATTCAGAGTACCGAAGCTAAGCTAACACGAACTAAAAGCTATCATGAGACGACTGTTGATGGTTCAACAGATTTAGGGCACGTGAGTTTATTTTATTTTTTTGGACTAAACGATCCTATAAACACCAGCTGTAGATTAAGAGCACAGCTCATATAAACAAAGACAATTCTCAGTTACGTCTTGGTTCCATGTGGTAACACTTCTTACAATATATACGGTAACTACTGGCTACAACACCAAAACTACTTGGATAAAATAGATGTGCCGCCAAAAAGTATCGGACCCAGTGGTTTCAGAACCTCTAAGGAGGTCCAGTGTTTGGCACAGAGATGTTCTGCAGACTTCAGACTTATTCTAGTGCATCTTGTGGATGCTTTGTCAGGCAGATCGGGAGGATTTTGAGTTTAGTTGACATCTTATGCTTTTAGATGAAGTTTAAAAATGCAGTAGTAAAGTGTGCTGTTTTGTCGAAGAAGCTAAGTTTCATAACAGAGCAATGCATTACAAAAAGTAGATGAACATCAGTGGTTTTATTGTGTCTGACTTAGGGCTCAGATAATCACTGACTTTTACTCCCTACTGTCTGGAACTCACTGTACTGAACAGGAATTTATACTAAAGGACAAATTCAAAAAGGACAAAGAGGAGCTGTATGCAACAATTTTATATTTTTTCTTGTTTTAGGACATTAATTAAAATGTTTCCTTTCATAATGATTATGCCATAGAAGCTTTGATGATTAATCATTTGTTTAAAAATAGAAATTTAAGTAAAAAAATATTTCCACTGGTCATGAGCATGAGACATTTTTTTTCTCTTTTCAACAGTTTGTGTGTTTTCCCAGAGACAATAAAAATAAAGGGTAGGTTTATGGTTTATGCTTTTGTAAATATATTTTTTTATCTGCATAGTGATCTCAAACTTTGTTGTTTAAATTTTGATGTTTTCTTTAACTATACCAAAGTAAGATTGTCTTCTTAACACAGGGGTCTGCGACCTTTACAATCAAAAGAGCCATTTTTGCTCCTGGGCTCACTAACAAAATGTCTCCAGAGCCACAAAATAAGCTGTAGCTGTGATTATCAACTGGTGGTCCATGGGCCTTTTCAAGGCCTTTTCGTGAAACTTTATGGCCAGTGGAGGCAACATAAACCTAAAAAATTGTGAATTTTATTACTGTTTTTACACTTCAGAACTGAAGAAAAAAATATTCGTGCACAAGAAAAAATACTGGCTATAGTTTATACAGAATTTCATAAAAACCAGTACAACTGACATTTTTTTCTCATTCTTATTATTATGTAGTCCTAAAGGTGTTTTTGGTAGAAAAGAAATTTAGGTAGAAAACAAGCTAGCATGAGCTAATGTTTTACTTTTTGTATTAGTATTTTTGTATTAGTATTTTTGTATTAGTAGTACTGATCACATATTTGCATACAATTTATTAGTGTTGTGAGTATAAAAACAAAAAAATCTGTTATATTTGGTCACATTTTCAAAGAGCCACATGTGGCCCCAGAGCCGCAGGTTGCAGACCCCTGTCTTAACACATTACAAAACGGAACAAACACAAAGTTCAGGTGGTTTGACAGAGATAAAAGGTGTACGGAGAATAAAAAGGATGTGGTCTTCCACGGCATTTGTGAATTCTGTAAATGTTACAGATTTGGATCTGGGACAAAATCCTTCAGACTTATTTAGTCTGTGTCAGTTTTGAAAAACATTCTTCTTGACATATTTTTTCAGACGGATTTTTCATTTGTGTTTATGAAATCTAACACTAATCAGTTGAGGAATGCCAAATGTTTTCTGACACTGATGAACTTCATGTTTAGTTTTGGCACAAAATAAATGCTGGTTTCTTGCTTTGAAAGTAAAGAAAGTGTTGGGAGGCAACACTAACACCAGTTAACTTGGTGGGAAGAAAGTTGTGAGATTTTATTTTTTAAGGTACTACAAGCTTTATGTGTCATTAAGTTCATGAAATATGTTTTTTAAAATCAACCCCATGAATTCACTACTTTTAAAATGTGACTTTTAAAAAGTAACATATTGCTACTCTTGTTTGCAAAGAATACTTGGGCACAAATTGTAATTTAGTTACATGTTTTTTTTTTTCAAAACAACCATGTTACTGATGAGAGATGAAAGAAAATTCAAACACTTCAGTATTCAAAGTCAAAAACTCAGAAAAAAACATGGGGAAAACTTATTTAGTGGTGGCTTTAAAATGTATATAAGCTTTTTTTTCTTTAAACTAAATAACTATCATTGAACGAGTAAAATAAGTGTTCTCTTTTGTTACTGTGATTGTGATAAAATATGTAGAAGTGCTCAAGGTGTTAAAAAAAAGCAGTAACTGTTAACCCTCCCTGGGCAGTGCTTTGACTCAGAGTTTAGTTCAAATGGCTGAATGAAGTCATTGTTTTGTATGCAGGCTGAGTAAAACCATCACAAATGCAGTTGTGCAGTTGAAACCAATTTGTGGTATTGCATGTGACACTTATAAGTTACCAATTTTTTATTTATTTATTTTTTTCTGAAACACTTTGGACAACAATTGTTGTCTTCGTATCCAGCTGTGGTTTTTAGTGTTTGTGTTTTTGTGTATTTAGCAAAAGTTGTTAGATTTGTCATGAATAATGTGATAGTTTATTAAAGGTGCAAAAAGTTTAAATTTAGCCTAAAGGGTTATAAAGATTTGTTTCTCTTAAGTGCTTGTATTCTCATTACAAGATCACTACATCATCTGACGTTCACAACTCTCATTACATTTCTCATATAGAGAAATTTAAACTTTTAAAATATATTACAAAATGTTTTAAATAAACAAACCTAATATCTTCAAAGATAAACATTTTTGCAAAAGTTGAAATTCCGAGTTAAAGGTTTTGGGTCAAAAACCTGAACTGTTCCATTATTGTGAACGAAATAGTGAGCTGGTCACGGGGTGTATGAAAGAAATTAAATGTGTATTTATATTTTATTTAAGTGTTTTTCTACCATGCATGCAATGAAGTTGTATACTATTTAACACGATTAAAGGTTGGTCCTTTTTAACATTAAAAGTGCCTCCTGGTCCTGGCAAGTTTGTTGAGGATGTACCTGAGCATGTTGTGTTTTGGCAAGACCAGACTAAAGGTGCCAGCATTGTAAAGACACAAACAGCGCTGCGTTGAAATGAGCCAGGCTCATAAACTGGGTTGTTTACTGTGGTCAGCTGAGATATGCTCTGCTGCTAAATCAGCAACAGGCAGATTACACACCTGCAGGGAGGGAGGCCTTGTGGCCTCCACGGGTGGAGTGGGAGAGACTGGCTGCTTTTCTCAACTCCTTCATTTGTTCTTTCTAAATTTTTGCGTTCATTCCAAGATGTTCTTGGCCTAAAAGCTGAAAACAGAAAAATCAGCCCTCTGTGTTTAGATGAGCAGCTGTTTACAGTCATGGGATCTTCTTTACATCACTGGGCGTTTGATGTTTGGTGAGCTGATACATGAAACAGAGCTCGCTACACCATTCTGCAGAACTCATATATATTAAGGTGGTGTTTGTACTGAACATTCAAAGTCTTTATGATAGTAAAAAGATGTGTGTGTGTTTTCCACAAGAGCAGATGGCCCACAGCCTCCAGCTGAAATACCTATCCTGCCCTGGAAATCTCTCATTGCTAATGACCAAACTTTCAAATACTTACTAAATATGCTTCCTTCAAACAGTTTGTCAGGACACCACAATAGTATGAATCTGGTAGGT